ACCCGTGGCCTTGGTGTTATCAGCACCACACTCTCCCGAGTGAGCCACAGGCCGGCCCTTTAAATGAAATTCTTTTAGAACTATCAATGAGTTGTTTTTCCATCTCTTCTTTACTCTTCACAATTCTACCTTTTCTTTTTAGAAGATTAGATTTCTAATATTCATAACAGGTTAGGAAATGCAAAAACTTAAAAGATTAAGCAAGAAATTTTTAGTGTACCCAGAACTTTTGCATGAGTGTTGCCAACGTGAAAAGGAGTGAGGAAATAATTTGTTAAAGGAAATTTATAGAAGCCCCAAGGAGGGTGGAGGTGGAGATGGAGTTGAGGTTAAAGGGACACAAAGAATAATTACAATTTGTAATAATGAACATGCTAATGATATTTATTTGATCATCACATATTGCACACAAATACTGATAGTCAACACTGTGCACCCAAAATATGTATAATCAATTATGCTTCAATTTAAAAAAATAAAAGGAGATATGGAGAAGGAAAGTTGCGTAAGCACAACTAAGCCACAGGTATTTATGGAATTGCTAATGTTGTGTTGAGTTACAAAATGTATAAACCTCAATCTTGCTTTTCAGGAGTTGAGAATCTAATTAGAAAGAGAAAATTATACATATGAAATAGAACAGCACAGTACTCATTAGGTACAATAGCTTAGAGAAGGGAAAAAGGAAGTAAAGACTGGAATAGTTTTTGAAGAATGGTTAAGATTTAGATAAAGAACAGAAAGAGACATATTTCACATGATAGTGAAAACATTAAAACAGATTTAGAGGCCAAAGTAAACATTTTTTTTTAGTACATATGCACTTTAAAAAGCCATAGGGTAGCAGTTGGCTGATTTGGTTAGAGTGCAGCCTTAATAACACCAAGGTCAAGGGTTCAGATCCCTGTACCAGCCAGCTGCCAAAAAAAAAAAAGACTGAAAAGCCCTAAACACACAAGCTGTAAAAATTAAGGCAATAAAAATTGCCACCAAAAAATTAAGCAAATATGTGGGGTCTTCAAAAAGTTCATGGAAAGATTATTATCTTTTGATTTCATTTTTCTATGAACTTTTGGAAGTACCCTCATATAATGAATAAAATGTTTACTTTGTTTATAAATGTTTGTTTATAAATTATGCTATAAAAAATAAAAATTACAACAAAAGTTCTTACAAAAGACAAGGAAAAGAAAAAAAAAAAATACCCCAATAGAAAAATGGGCAAAGGGGCCGGCCCGTGGCTCACTCGGGAGAGTGCGGTGCTGATAACACCAAGGCCCCGGGTTCGGATCCCACATAGGGATGGCCGGTTCGCTCACTGGCTGAGCGTGGTGCTGACAACACCAAGTCAAGGGTTAAGATCCCCTTACCGGTCATCTTTTAAAAAAAAAAAAGAAAAATGGGCAAAGCAGGAAAATTATAAAATAAGAGATATAAATGGCCAGTAAGCACATATCACAATATCCAACCTCAGTAAAAAGTCAAAAAATATATAAAAACAATAAAATACATGTTTCTCTCATGAGATTGGCAGTGGTTTAAAAATAATATTCATGAATGTGGGGCAATAGGCACTTATACACTGTTGGTGGGAATTTAAATTGTTATGGCAGTGTGGTAATAAATCAAGAGCCTTAAAAAATGAACATACTCTCCAGTGTAGCAGTTTTATTTCTAGGTGATATCCTAAGGAAATCCTTAGAGAAGATGAACAGAAGTTCATCCAACCCTACAGATTGAGCATCCCTAATCTGAAAATCCAAAATTCAAAACTTTTTGAGCGCTGACATGATGCTCAAAGGAAATGCTCATTGGAACACTTTGGATTTCATATTTTTGGATTAGGGATGCTCAGCCGTATTCTGCAGATTTTCCAGAATCAAAAAAAATCTGAAATTCTTCTAGTCCCAAGCATTTTGGATAAAGGATACTTAACTTGTAATACAGAAACAGTGGAAGCACTCTGAAAGACAGTATGGCTATATTAACATAGAAATGGAAAAAAGCAAATTATGGGGCATCGTGTGTCACACAATCCTATTACTATTGAGAATGGATACTTGGGGAATGTATGTTTGTATCTGCATACATGGAGGGGAAGTCAGGAAGGTTATGTGCACCCCATTTTAATTCTGGGTGGTTGGACAACTGATGACTTTTATTTTCTCCTTTTCGCTTGTCAATACAATGACCATGTATTATTTTTTGAAATACGTTTTAAAGAAAAACAGAGCTTGAGAATCAGAATAAGGAGAAGGTGCTTACAATGTCCATTAAGAATGTATTTTTTCTATTTATTTAAATGTTAAGAAGCTGTAATGATCTTGATTGTTTTAGGGCCTACGGGAATTTGGCTTGGGAAGATCCCCCCACCAAACCCCTACCCCACTTAACTAGAAAGACTGACTGAGCCTAGACATCTTTTTCTTTTAACTCTTAATTGCACATCTGTATAGCTGATAACTGCAGGATATCGTTGGATTTATAACAATTACAGACTAATGGTTTCTGTTCATCTATAGTTAAAATCTTTGACTCAACTTCAGAAGCTTCTGGAAACATCTGGATATCACAGGTTTACATTTCCTTGATCCTTATATTTATTTTATCCTTTCTTTTGCCCCTGTTTAGGTTCTATCATAATGAATGGATCCAGTGTGGCGAATACATCACCCAGTGTAAAATCCAAAGAGGACCAGGGGTTAAATGGGAATGAAGAGAAGGAAAACCCATTTGCAGAGTACATGTGGATGGAGAATGAAGAGGATTTCAACAGACAGGTAAAGAAGTGGAAGGCTAATGATACGTGTAATTCAACAGCTGTAATATTTTACTGTCAGTCTGAAGGAAGGACAGGAGTACCGTTGGCTTTAGAATAACTTAAAAATAGATGGGGCCTCATCTGGGATGACCAAGAAGCTTCTTCAACTGGTAAGAGACCATAGTGACAGTACCTTGGAGGAAGATTGTGATTCTACCATGCTGATTAAAAGAGGACACAAACATCAGACGAATCAATTAATAGCTGAAAATCCTCAGACAGTGAGCCCATGTATAACTAAATAGGTTCGTATATACCTCCACACTATGATATTCCCTCTGAGTGTAGTTCACATTACACAGTAACTGCTGCAGAGAGGCCCTGCTCTCAGCCTCATTCTTTCTAGATTTGTTTAATGGATTTCTCTAGGTAACTGCTAAGTCCTCTAGGAGATTCCTAGAATTTAAATCAAACCAGGACTCTTCCTCAATCCTGGAGGATTGACTTAAAACCCTTGTGTCAAACCAAGGTAGCTGAGGTCCTTTATCCTGCCCTAATTCCAGCTTTAATTCTTGGGACCACTGTGGTTCTAGTAACTCTCTGTAATGATCAATGTGAAATTAATTTCTTGAACTGTGAAGCAATGAAAAACAATGATAGTGAGGTGGTTTTTTCTTATATTTTGGGGTTTTTGTTTTCATTTGCTTATAGGAAATATGAAACTCTGCATTTCATTTTGAAAATTTAAGAATTGTGAGTGAAGATAAATATGTTTTCCATGGGATTTTTGAATGGTTGTATTTGACTTTTGTGTTGACCTACCTGTTCCGATCTGCTTTTATCCAGCCTCTGAATGAAAAATAAGTTATTAAAAGCATGAACAATTTGTACTACCTTTAATGATACTAACTGACATGAACTTAACCGTACTGATCAGGATTGTGCTGGAACTATTAGGAGCCAGATATTTGAGCTGTGGGTCAGCTGTGAGCTCCTATATGTAGGAATTTAGCAAACTGAGGCAGGGTGCATGGAAAAGTACCAGAAAGCTAGGAGCTTGCAGAAACAGACACATGCAAAGAAGCTGAGGAAAGACTGTTGAGAAGTTTTGAAAATTATAATAACTTGTTTCAGGAGAACTAGAAAAGCAGTGACAGCTATGTCTTTAGCAGCTTCAAGCATTGCAGTAAATACCAGGCCCTAAGAAGGACTGAGCAGGTAAACAATTGTTTGCTTAAACTCCTGAGGAAAGACTGTTGAGAAGTTTTGAAAATTATAATAACTTGTTTCAGGAGAACTAGAAAAGCAGTGACAGCTATGTCTTTAGCAGCTTCAAGGATTGCAGTAAATACCAGGCCCTAAGAAGGACTGAGCAGGTAAACAATTGTTTGCTTAAACTCCCCCAACCCTAGTATTTCACAGGTAATACTAGCAAATAATGGCAACATTGTTTTGAAATTGTTAGGTGATTTCAAATCATGGAATTGAGTATTTCAGAGAAGCCTTCTTTGTCCTTCATTTGGGAGCAGGAGGGTTTAGGATTCTGGGATCTGGTTGATGTCAGTTGTCCCTGTACACCTGTACATTACTCTGTTTCACCATGGTGAACTATACAGCTCTTATCACCACCAATCCCCATCCCATTACAAGTGCAGCTTTTATGATAATTCAGAAGTGGTTTTGCATACCATGCACCTTGAGTTGGATCTTAAGGAGGAAGAAATGGTTTCTATCTAGCAGCTGACTCATTATCTTCTGACTTTCCAATAAAATATCTGAGAAAACTTAGAATAAGATGAAAACAACTTACAACCCCCAAAATTAGAAGTGATAGTCATTGGTCTGGTGAAAAGATGTTCATTGACAGGCTGGTAGAACTGGATTGAAATGTAGTTCTTAGGAGAAAAAGGATTAAGTCCTAATAAAGTAGTATCACCCATTCAAGGTATCAGAAAGTATAACTCAGGAAGGAAGGAAGATCTAACATACTAGTTATCACTGTGAATAGTTTATATTCCCCCACACCTACACACACACACACACAGAATATTTAAGAGGGAAGAGAAAAAGACTCAGTTGGGTTAAGGGAGGAAAAAAAGGCAAAATCTAACTATATGAGTTTGTAAGATACATTCTCACTGGCTATTCATGCTGTGGAAAAAGATGAAAAATACTTAGTGAATTTTTAATCATATGGCTCTTTTACATGTACATTTCTTTTTTTTTCCGCAACCGGTAAGGGGGTCGCAACCCTTAGCATGGTGTGGCCCGCACCACACTCAGCCAGTGAGCACACCAGTCATCCCTATATAGGATCTGAACCCGCAGCCTCGGTGCTACCAGCGCCTCACTCTCCCGAGTGTGGTGTGGCCCGCACCACACTCAGCCAGTGAGCACACCAGCCATCCCTATATAGGATCTGAACCCGCAGCCTCGGTGCTACCAGCGCCTCACTCTCCCGAGTGAGCCAAGGGGCCGGCCCTACATGTACCTTTCTAACTAGAGAACTTTCTTTACTCTAAGCTTCTGTCATTTTCCCATAGGGTATCTAGTAAGTAAAAGTCAAGATAGATATATTCCAAATATCAACAATATTCATTCATATCTGGGTGTTGAGATTAAGGGTAACTTTTTTTCTTCTGTTTTGGTTTTCTTAGTTCTAATTTCCCAACTCTTATACAAAGAAAATGGATTACTTCTACAATAAGGGAAACAGGTTTTCATGTGAAGGCTCTAAAAGAGAAATATCTGAAGTAAAATACTTCAGAAAGGGAAAATATAAAAGAACGGAGAGAGAAAATAACCAGGAAATTTCAAACACAAAGTAATACTGGATAGAGTGGAAATCGAAGGGAATAACATTAAATTTCATTAAGGTAAACTCCACAATGAACGTTTTATATTTATGAATATTTTTTCAAGTAACATAGCAATGAAATATGTTAAAAAAAAAAATTAAAAGAATCCACATCCTAGTGGGAGACCTTAAATTTTGATAGGAATAGTTCAGCAAGTATTTGAGCCAGATAATGTATTAGATGTTTGACTGATTAAATAGGCAAAATATTATGAGTATAGAGTATTTATGGAAAAGAATCTTGATTTAAGTAACATACATCAAACTTCGTACACTGTGAATAGCAAGTACATTATTTTTTAATACCATTGGAGCATTTAAAATTCATTATCTATTAAGCCTACAGAGAAAACCTTAAATTACTTTAAAGGACAGATTGTACAGTCATCTGGCCATGGAGAATTAAATTAATAAGAAACAAAAAATAAATCATGAAGTATTCAGGGAAAAAAAATCTTAAGTTGTAGATAAATCTGGGTTAAAGGTGACATCCAAACCACAGTTACAAATGATATAAAAATTAGTGACAAGTAGACTGTGAGTTCTTCAAGAAATAAAAAAATTAGTGACACTGAAAATATTAATATGAAAGCCAAGAGATATGACCAAAGCTATACTTGGGGAAATTTATGAAGTAAAATACTTATACTATTACAAAAGAAACAAGCTAGAAAAATAGTATAAACCTGTAGAGAAGTGTGTTTTGTTTGTAAGGTTAAATAAAATAGGGTAGACCAGTACAGGAATTGTAAGTACTCCAAAAAAAATAGCAATAGTATGGAGATTTTTATTTCTGTGACGTAAGCGTTCCTGCCTTCTTTCCTAGCCCAGGTTTCCTGTGCTCCGCTGCTTTCTGTGATCCCTCAGCTGATCTAGTGCTGCCCGAGGCATCTCTTGTTTATCCATATTGCTCCTCAACAATTTATATAAATGTGGCATAATAAATATATATTAGGTCTTCATCTCCAGTTCCTGTCACAGAGCTCCTGAAACCCTTGTAATTTCCTGATGGGCAAGAGGAGTGTCTTTTGTTATTCATAATAAGCCCTTTTCAAACATACCTAAGTTTATGATAATGAGGTGGCTTTTGGAGGTAGGGGCTTGTTGTCAGAGGAACCAACCATGTTAGAGAGTTTAGCCCCACCTTCCCAACTTCTGGGAAAGGAGGACTGGAGATTGAGTTCTATCCCCAGTGGCCAACGATTTAATCAGTCTGTGCCTATGCAGTGAACCGTCATAAAAACCCTAAACAAAGGGGTTCTGAGAGCTTCTTAGTTGTTGAACTCATGGAGGTGCTGTGAGGGCAGCACCCCCAGAGAAGGCATGGAAGCTCTGCACACCTTCCCTATACCTTGCACTAAGTACCTTTTCATTGGGCTGTTCATTTATATCCTTTATAATTATACATTACAGTAAACCAGTAGACATAAAAAGTGTTTTCCCTGAGTTTTGTGAACTGTTATAGCAAATGACTGAACCCAAGGAGGGTGCTGGGGAGTCCCCGTAGCCAAGGCACAGGTGTGGGTAATGTAGGGACCCAGTATTTGCAAGTGGCATCTGATGGCGGGGGCAGTCTTGAGGGACTGAGTCCTTAACCTGTGGGGTTTGCTGTAACACTGGGTAGTTAGTGTCAGAATTAAAGTAAATACTAGGATACCCAATTGCTGTCCACAGAAAATTGGGAAGTGCTTGGAGTGGAAGACCCACACATTTGGTGTCAAGTTCTGTGAGGAGAGAAACAAGTTTTCCTTCCATAGCACTTTATAAAGGCATATAGCACAGTACAGCAAATGGGCACCTCTCAGCTACTTTGTGCCTAGAAAGTATAGTGTACCACACTGACCATATTCTCTCCAAAGCTGAGAAAGAAGAGCAAAAAGGTGCTGGTAGAGTTTTGAAATTCTGGGGTTTTTTTGTTTTTTTTTTGTCTTTTGTCTTTTGTCTTTTTCTGTGTCCGGCAACGGATCACAACCCTCAGTGTTGCCCCCGTACCGGACCGGGGACCGGCAACGGGATCGCAACCCTCGGTGTTGCTCCCGCGCCTCGCTCAGCCAGTGAGCGGGAACCGGTCTGTATGTGGGATCCGAACCCTCGGGCGGGAGCGCCGCCGCGCTTCCCAAGCTGCGCACTATCCAGTGCGCCACCGGGCCGGCCCCTGTTTTTTGTTTAAGTTTCCTATATTTTCCAGATTCTGTAGATGAGTACATATTATCTTTTTTAGTCTGCATGTTTTTTTAAGTTTCCTATATTTTCCAGATTCTGTAGATGAGTACATATTATCTTTTTTAGTCTGCAAATATAATTTTCCTTATACTATCATATGTGGATCAGAGTTATGCCCCAGGAAACAATGGAAAGAAATACACTAGAAGATAAAGAGCGCTTATATGTGAGTGGCAAAATTGTACATATGAATATTTTCCCTCTTTTTCTAAATTTCTATAATGGCAAGAATGTAAACTCTAAAAAACTTTTTAGAAAGACAGTTTGACCCTCTGTATCTGAACTATATTTCTTAGTCTGTTCTTTTTTTTTTTTTTTTCCTTTTTGTCTTTTTTTCGTGACCGGCAACGGATCGCAACCCTCAGTGTCGCACCCGCACCAGACCAGGACCGGCAACGGTATCGCAACCCTCGGTGTTGCGCCCGCACCTCACTCAGCCAGTGAGCGGCCGGTCTGTATGTGGGATCCGAAGCCTCGGCGGGAGCGCCGCCGCGCTCTCAAGCGGCGCACTGTAGCAGTGCGCCACCGGGCCGGCCCTTAGTCTGTTCTTTTACTTGTTAATATGTTATTAGTAAGATGAGATTTCACAGAAATAAACCACATAATATTTTTTTACTAGTTAGACTTGGTTAAATCCAGTTCCTAGAAATCTCTAGTTTTGCTCTCTTTTTGAGATGTTTTTCATGGAAATTTGTGTTAGGGAGAATTTAGTATATGAAATAAAGTTGCTTTGATCTAATGCCGTGGTGATCTGGCGTAGACTTCTGGGAAACAGCAGCTGTGTGGAGACTGGTCGGCTTGGCATGCCCCGAATAGGAATCCAGGGACTGGCAGAATGTGAGTCTGAAATAGAGAATTGTGTTAGGTGGGGAGAGACTAGACTGCTTCAACAAAGATTCAGCAGTAGTTCCTTGTCTTCTACCTCTGTGACATTAACAGCCCAAGGTAAGCGGTCCAGATAAACAGGTGATTCTGCTACCACTTGGTCCCTTCCATGGTATTGCTGTGCCACCCCCAGGGCATCTGTCAGTTGAATAGCTGAGGAAAAACTGGGAAGTGTAGCAGCTGGGAAAGGGAGAGAGTTGAAAACCAAGGCAAGGGGTCTCCTTTGAACCAAGTGATGCCAGAGTGCCTACATCCCTTCTGGGGATGCTGTATGACAAATAGTCACATGGCCACATCCAGCATGGGAGCCCCCAAATATGGTTTTAATCTAACAGCCTGGTGCTCTGGGAAGAAGAAGGAAAAAAGTTTAAAGGAGACAGCCAGCAGTTTCCTCCCTACGTGGTTTACTGTGTTGGGATCTGTGTGACTAGCTCATAGACCACGCTTTCTGTCACACCACTGTGCCCAGATAACCATCTTCGTCGGTTGTGCCATTCAATAATGGGGAGCAAGCTGTTATGCTCTCATAGTCAGGTCAGCTCTTAAGCCATCATGTTAAATCTTGTGGCTTGGAAATACTTTCTTGTATTTTAAGGACTTATTGTTTCTTGTTTTAAGTACTTCTTAACTATCTAATTTACTTGAGATTAAAAGAATGTGTGGCTAATTGTAATGTTGAAATATTATTGTTAAGTCTTGCTACCAGTAACTTTTCTTCCAAATTGATGAGATAACCTGTATAAGCTAATGTGGGTGATTATTTTTTGCTTGACCTGCCTTCTGGTGGTGGCGCTAGTGAGCTGAGAACCTGTTATTAGGCAACCTGCAGGGAAAGCTACATGTGAAGCAGGAGACCTGTTAAAGTCACACTAAAATCTCCAGAGTGAATCATAATATTTGCTAAGAGTTAATAATGTCTGAAAGAGGTGTAGAATATCCTAGATATATATTGCTTTAGTTTAGGGCAGTGTTTCAGAAATATGTAGTTGTTTAAATGTTCATATATTTCTCCTTGTTTTGAAAAAATACTATATTGATGGTATGCCAAATAGTTTTCTTTATATCTTTTTAATGTTCTCAAAGTATTTTTCTCCCTGGGGATTTCATTACCTGAAAAGTGGGCCAGAAGCTGAGAGTTGGTTTTTATTTAATCTCTACTATCCAGGTGGAGGACTAGTTACATACTTCCTTTATCTTTTTTATATTCCTTGTAAAATGGAAATCCATTAAGAATTGCTTCTTAACAAGATTGAGAAAAGAATTTCAAGCTCTAAAATGATTTTCCATAAATGCCATGTAAATGGAAAGTATCTGTTACATACTATTAGAGATCTTAAAAGATCTGTGAAGGCCTGGACTTTCTGCTGTTTTGAATAACAGTTTGCTTAGTCTTATTATTGATGGGATTTGGTTGAAAAAATTAAAAATTACGTTTTCTCTAGCCAGTTACTAGAAGTATCTTAATTCTTAAATCTTATGTAAGATCATTTTTAGTTGCATAGTAGTAACCTCTGAAGGAAAGAGGTAGGGAAAAAACTGGAAGGGATGAGTCCCACTGGGACAGTAAGTCTGAGTTGATCCCCTTTGCTTGCTAGGTGGAGGAGGAGCTGCAGGAGCAAGACTTCTTGGACCGCTGCTTCCAGGAGATGCTGGATGAAGAAGACCAAGACTGGTTTATTCCGTCAAGAGACCTCCCTCAGGCCATGGGACAGTTGCAACAGCAGTTAAATGGACTGTCAGTCAGCGACGGTTGTGATTCTGAAGATATTTTGGTAAGAGCCATATGTAGTTCAACCTGTGATGTAGTGAAAAGAAGATAGGATTTGGAGTCACAGACTCTCTTTCTGGCCCTACCACCTCTAGCAAGTCTCTGGAGCCCAATGAGCTGCTGTTTCTTCACTCATATGGGCACTGATAAGAGGGAGCATTGAAGATGTATTGCTCTCATAGCGCACTGTGAAAGCATTACCGTTGCCAGCGTCTCCAGCTTTCATTTTCCCCAGTGGGCTTTTCAAAATAGAATTGGGGCCAAGGATAAAAGTTTGAACACTGAAGAGGTTTCATTTCAAATTATCATTTGCCACTGTCTTTTTCTCTCTCTGTCCCCTAAATCTGTATTAATATAGTTCTGAATGATTTTGTTATAAAAATTGCCTGTTCATTTTGGAAGGAACATACTCCTGAGAGGCCATTTTCCACTTATAATTAGAAGACTAGATAAATTAATTCCTGCCTTATGTAATGTCAGAATTCTATATAGTTCTCACACAACTTGTATTCTCAATGATTGTGCTCTGCAGTTTGTCAACATTTCAGATAGTCACGGGAGAGTAGAGAATCAAAGAGGGCACAGAAAGAGGAAGAGAAATAAGATTGTGGTTTGATGCCCTGATTTTTACCAGGTAAGGTACTCAATGAATTGAAAAATTCTTTTTGGAGTCAGACAGTAGTGAGATTTTGGAAGCATCATGAAAGGAAGAGGAATCTAAGGTAGGAAGGAGAAAACAAGCTTGGTCAGGGCTGTGTGTATCAGGAGCCATTGAGAGCAGCCCAGCAATAACAGTCTGAGTTATGAGGGATTTTCTTTCTTTCTCTCCTTCAGGCTAAGGTATTGGTAATAGTGGAAGTGGGGAGAAAGTAAGTTTTGAAGTGCAGCTTGCCTTTTATTATCTCTTGGTTCTTGTTTCAGAGCAAAAGTAACCTGAACCCGGATGCGAAGGAATTTATTCCAGGAGTGAAGTACTGAGCCAACAGAAAGCTTTGAGGAGGACTTGTCTGTTCCCACATCTGGGGACAGTGATGCACAAAAAGGCAGAGCTAAGGCGGGGGAGGGGGGTGGAGGAGGGGTGCACAGTGGGGGAGGGGCACTGTGGATTAACTAGATACTGTGATTCTGGGTAACTAATGTGCTCAGTCTTACTCTACATGACTCTGAGTATTTCTGTTTTGTTCTACTGACTTTTGTTTGGAGCAGTTTCCTGTATTGTTTTGTTTGTAATTAGCTCTTCTGAGTTAAGGAAATTGCAAAATTTTTTTCCTTCATCAGGAATGTTCTGCTGTGTGTGTAAAAAAAGAGAAAAATAAGCTTCCAGGAAAAACTGGGTGTTTAAGAAATGCCCTTCTCATCCTGCTTACCAGGAGCAATGAGCACCTGAGAGCTACTTGTGGCATCTGTTCGTCTGGATGGGAAGAAGGACAAGCGGAAGAAGCAGGTGGTACAAACCAGCACATGAGGCTCAGTTCTCCTGAACCCTGGGCTTGCTTGCAGTGAACTGGGATTACCAATGGCCTGCTGAGCCCATGTCTCCCTGCCCTGAACTCCATTTGAGAAAACACAGACTGAAAGTACTTGGTTTATGGTAACACTTTTGATGGTTGATGAGAGTTGTAAATCAGAATGGAAGGGCTGTAATGGTGATTGTCATTTCAGTCATTTAGTTACTGTTGTCCTTTTTATTCTTAAGCCTCTGTTTACAGCTACCATCAGACTCATCATTTACAAGGTAAAAGAGCACCAAGGTTGATTTGCCACCTCATCCCTCATGGTGTCTATTCTCCTGTCTCCTCTTCACCCCAACCGTACTCTATTTTTAAGAAAAGATACTGTTACGAAAGGCATATGAGAGGCCTGCATGCTGGCCATCAGCTTGAGCTTAGAGAAGTCATCCATGAATCCTGTTAGTTCTGTCTTAAATTTATTTGGACTTTTTTTTCCCCAGCCCCATCAACACTTGATCCTTCTGGTATTTTAATTTACTCAGAAAGGTTTATGCACTTTTTCAAAGAAATATATTTTTTAGGACACTAGCAACGTGCTCAATTCACAGGTGGTATGCTTAACCCTACCATAACAGAATTATGCGAAGGAACTCAAAAGCAGCCTAGGAGAATGAGTTCTGCTGACCCACATGTCTGTGTACCTGACCCTCCAGGATATTTTCAGCTATTATAAAATTTTACTGTTCTCACATACCCAGCTTTGCAAGTTTTCTAGATTAACCTCTCTGTTTCTTTTGTCTTTCCTGCCTATAACTCACTGGGGTCTTTTGTTCATATTCCTAAGGAACTAAACTGAGCCCCAGGAGCTACCTTTGCATATAGTGATATAGGTGGCAGCATCATGTGTAAAAGAGAGCATCCAGTCCTGGCCAATCTCCCAGGGCAAGGATTTGCTGAGGCCTGAGGATGATAGTGGCTTCTTTCTGACTGCTACTGTGCTGGGTGATATGCCTATGAGAAAAAGATCACATGGGCCGAGCCCATGGCGCACTCGGGAGAGTGCGGAGCTGGGAGCGCGGCGGCGCTCCCGCTGTGGGTTCGGATCCTATATAGGGATGACCGGTGGGCTCACAGCACTCACTGGCTGGGCGTGGTGCGGCCGGTCTCAAAAAGGGCAAAAAAAAAAAAAAAAAAAAAAAACATAACTTGAAACAAAGTTGGTGTAGATTCAGTATGTGGATGTGGGACAGAGGTTGGAAGAAAAGGACTAGGATCTGGAAAGCTAAAGAAATTTTCCTGTTTCTTATGAGCTCCCTTGTTGACATATTGAACAGTCACAAGCTAATGCCAGATTTAAAATATAAACTCACATCTTTTCCTCATTTGAGTTTATAGGATGGCATTATATGAAAAATGGCCTTCCTTGTTAGGTCACATGTCATAGGAGAGTAGCCTAGGGAACTTGTATTGCCAGAAAAGCACATTAATTCCCGAAGTCTCTACCTCGAGAGAATGAAACTATTAACTCTTTTTCAGGGAGGACTACTAATAAACTCCCTCATTCCAGCTTCAGCTTTCAGCTGGAGTTGTTGCCGCTGATAAAGAGAGAGTGTTGAGAGTGCATAAACAGCGGAAATCCCTATCTTCTGGGACTGCTTTTCCTCCTTCAGTCTCCATTAGCCTTTTCAAGCTCAGAATTCTGAAGGCTATTGGAACTGTGTCAGATTGCAGAGAGAGCCATTTTTAAGACCATGGGTGTCTCCATCACAGAGAGCACAATGGATTCTTGTTGATTACCCATGGAAAGTCTTAAAGGGATCCAGAGTCAAGCCATTTCTTCATCCTAATGGTTTGCTCTTTGGATACTAGGGTAGGCTAAGCTGCTAGGTGTGGTCCAGGGGGCTTGTTTTTCCTTCTGTGCTGGTCCATTTTGGATGTCAGTCTTCAGCCTGGCTTCACAATGCATATTTAGTCAGGAATAAGAAAACTTCCTGCCAGATGAGCATGGCACCTGAGGGCTGGAGTTTCCATTCTGTTTGGACACAGAGTAGGGCTCCAGGATCAGGAAGGGGAGCAGCTAGCAAGGTGATCCCTTTTTTAACGTATAGGACTTGTGCTTCAATGATTCCTCTTGTAGCCCAACTCTTTTCACCATCTATTTTATATTGTGAGGTGAAAGCACAATTTCACCCAGATCACAAGCTCAGCTATAGTTAAGAGTTTGCCAGCTTCTTAGCAGAAAATGCATGTGAGGCTTGTTGGACTTTCATTGGAGAAAGGCTGGGAGCCTCTGGCTGGCCCAGACTTTTTCTTATAGGAGGTTCTGGGTGCAAGCCACTCTGGACACCTTTACCCTTTAATGGCGAAGCTTGTATTTATAAGTGATAATTTTGATGTTGAATTTAAGCTGCTAATTTGTTCAAACTCTTTTTTATTGGCAACTGGAAGTTTGAGAATTTGTATAGAAATGGAACATGTATTTTTTCACAGTTGCCAATCTTGCTGGTCCCAGTGTTAGTTTATTAGTGATTGGTTTCTGATTATTGTGATTATTTATTCAACTCTAAAACTTTAGGATAATTTTAAACTCCAAGAGAAAATAAATTTCTCTCTTTCTCTTCAAGGGAAAATAATAATAAAGGAATGCCTTTCAGTTTCTCCAGGCCTTTGAACTGCAGCAGAAAATTGGAGGATACAACCTAGGCCTGGGTGCATGCAGCTGAGTCTTTGGGCCAGTTTCTCACTACAGTAGTTGACTTTTGGGAATCACAGTCAAACCAGAAAAGATCATAAGAAAAAGTTGGATCTTTGCAGAACCTTTAGTGTCCAAAGTCACAACAGCTGGGATCTTTTTAATTAAGGTTATAGTGCTGACTATGGCTTAAAAATAAATGTTTTTTGTGAAATACTAAGCATTTTCCAAATTGCTGTCATGTCATAGTTTTGTCTTGAGATGCTGGGAAGTAAGTAGGTCAGGTGAATACTCTGGCAGTCAACACATGATAGAGAGGAAAGTTGTGTGAAGAGGTAGCGAAAGGAAATAGCCTGAATGAATCTTCCTGTATTACAGCTGCTGCAAACCCCATGCAGACAAATGACTGCCTGGGCTTGAGACATCAGGAGCCCAGGTATTTATCCTACAGTGATTGGAGGGGGCAGGCCTTCTTCAATAAGGGTCCTGGCATTACAGGCTAATAATGTTTCTTGACATAGGACTCCTAGGTGAAGCTGCTGTGCGTGTCAAAGGAACTACTCATCAGAACCAGCTTTGTCACAAGAACCTCCATATAAGGAGCCTGAACTGCTGCAAAAATTTTTATGGTAATTTTGCAACTTCTCTTTTATAAGGAAATTTTGTGCTACTACATGTCAGGACTTTAAAGCATCTTATAAATCCACTTGATAAGAATGAGCATGTATTTGAATGGACGAGAAAGTGAAGCTATTAGCACTATGCTGGATGTTTTTCCTTCCCCAGACTCAATGTGAGAATCCCTGAACTTCCTAAATATCATTTCTCCATCTACAAAGCTGAACATATATTAAAAATTGTGCTGCCTTTGGACAGATTTGGAGGGAAGGAGGGCTGACCGCAGAGGTGGGGAAGAGAAAGGGTGGAGCTTGTGGAAGGAGAAGCCCCCAGAGGGTCTCTGCATGCCCAGCCCAGCTGTTGATGTGGATGGTGAAGTGCTGATGGTGGCCTGGGACAGCCCAGCACCTTCAACAAGCCCAGAAGATTTTGTTTTTTTTTTAAAAGATGACCGGTAAGGGGATCTTAACCCTTGACTTGGTGTTGTCAGCACCACGCCCAGCCAGTGAGCGAACCGGCCATCCCTGTATGGGATCCGAACCTGGGGCCTTGGTGTTAGCAGCACCGCACTCTCCCGAGTGAGCCACCGGGCCGGCCCGAGCCCAGAAGATTTTGACTCTGGACCTTTATCCCTGTTCCCACAAGTATTTAAAAGCTGGTTTTGCTTTTTTTTTTTTTTTTCCTAAATACACATTACATGATAGTCATTAATACTTTGGGGGAAGAGAGGGATTTAAAATTGAAGAAAGCAATTTTCATAAAAATATTAAAATGGAAAAAAGTTACTTTTTAAAGATTTGCTATATAAACTAAATGGCAGCTATTGAAAAATCTCAATAAAATGAGAATAAAATGCATTTGCTGGCAGTGGTACCCTTTTTCCTAAGGTTGGGTCACTATATATTATCATACTATAGGGGGATATGTGTAGTGTGTGTGTGTGTAATTTTCGTCTTATGATGCATCATAATTTTAGTTTTCCTTCCAGATAAGATTACAAAGTAGTAAAAGCATGGGCTTGGAAGTCACAGACCTGAGTGAACCCCACCTTCACCATTTTCTTTGTGCCTTTGGCCTGAACTTTGGTTTATCTGTAGAGGTAAAACACCTCCCCCAAGGCCATAGTGAAAATTAGAATTTGTATTTATTTCTGTTGGTGGTTGGCCCATACAGGGATCTGAACCCTTGACCTTCATGTTACAAGCCTGTGTTCTAACCTACTGAGCTAACCAGCCAGCTCGAATTTATTTTTAAAATACTGCCCTGGTACTTAATACATGATAGCCAATAGTGGCAATAATACGCACAGCTTTGAAGGAAGAGGTGGTAGTGGAATCCTTGGGCTAGAAGAAACTGGATATTTTCCTGTTTCTGGGCAAAACTGACTCCTACCTAGAAAACAAGTGAAGCAATTTCGTATCTGCCTTTTAATATTGAACAAGTTTAAGAGCCTGCCACATGCCAAGCATTGTGTTAGACAGCAGGGCTACTGGTTAACAAGGAATAGTCCCTGCTGTTGTGGAGATAAGTTTGGTAATTCATTCTTGTTTTATATGCAGCTACCTTAAATCTCCCAAGGATTTGAGGGGCTGTGTTTTATGGTAAAATCACTGGACTGGACCAGGGTTCTTGGGTTTTGCTTTAAGCCTTATCATTTCTTTGCCTCCTTCCTAAAACCAGGGGGAAAAAATCTGATCTAACTTGCCTATTTATAGCTTTTGCAAGTACTATGAGGGTACTTCAGAAAGTTCGTGGAAAGATTAATATGTTTGCTGAAAGAATGGGACAGATGAGGGTGTGCTGTCCATGAGATCACATAGGTAGATGAAGGCAATGTTAGCTGCATTCAAGTTCAGTGCTTGTTCCAAACTCTCTTGCCTAGTCACAGGGCTGTTATAGGCTCAGATGAGATGAATGTATTTCCAATGCTTTGGTAATGCAGAACCCCATGAATTGCTCCTGATATCATGTTGGTGAAAGGAGACTATAAGTTTAAAATTAAAGGGCAAGACACAGTCTTCAAAAAAAAAAAGGGAGAAACTCAATAAAAATCACTTATGATTTTCTGCACTGCAACCTGTGTGGATAGTAAGCAACCTCATCACATCTCCTCTATGTGATAGGAACTAGGAACACATCTGGCCTTATGCACTTTAATATTGCCTTCAATTTTTCAGCTAACATTTGACACTTATGTGCTGACACTAAAAAAACCAATCAAGATATTCTCCTTCCTCTGTTCTAAAACTTCTCCTGTCCAATTGGAATTGTAGAGTCTAGACAATGGCTGTATCCTGAAAGACATAAGTAGGTCTCAATATTTATATACTCATCCTGAGAGCACGTACAAAAAAACTTTCCAAAGCTCACCATTCATAAGTGTTATTAGGACTATGATAAATATCAAAGGCACCTCTATTGCGTCCTTGGCAAGCATTTACTAGGTAATGGAGACTTGCTGAGTGCTGGACCCCAATGGTCTGGTCACGGCTGGCTGTGAAGGTGACTGGCTGTCTGTCCAAAAGGGACTTGGCTTGAGTTCATATTGCTCAAAGTTCCAGCTTGCTGCACTGGGCTAGAGCTGATGGCATGAGAGTTGTTGCCATTCTGTTCTATAAGAACACTACACTGTGAAAGAACAGTGTCATCCTACTTGGGCAACATACTAGTATCCAAGACCCCTCAGAGGACGGAACCAGAACTCAAAAGCTGTACAGCAGAACTATCTCCAGTGCAGATGCTGGACCTCCGCACCAAAAATTACCTAAGCTATTTAGTAAAAATGGAAATTCCCCATCCCATCCTTGACCTACTGAATCAGACACCTGGGGGTGGGGGAGAAGAGAAGACAGAAATCTGATTTTATTTTTTTGGTGGCTGGCGGGTATGGGGATCCAAACCCTTGACCTTGGTGTTATAAACACTGCACTCTAACCAACTGAGCTAACCAGCCAGCCCAGAAATCCAACTTCTATATTTTTATTTTAATCATTATTTTTGAAAGATGACCAGTAAGGGGATCTTAACCCTTGGCTTGGTGTTGTCAGCACCACACTCAGCCAGTGAGCTAACCAGCCATCCCTGTATAGGATCTGAACCCTTAGACTTGGTGTTATCAGCACCGCACTCTCCTGAGTGAGCCACGGGCCAGCCCTAGAAATCTGATTTTAAAACAAACTCTAGAATAACTGATGCACTCAAGGAGAGCTGATGTCCAGGACATGATCCATGCCTTCTAATAACTTACAACAGTCTAAACACCTGTAGAGGCAGCCACTGTGGATCAACTCTGTCTTCAGTCTTCACCAAGCAGCACAGGCAGCAAAACAGGAAGCTTTACGCTTATCTTCACTGATCAAACTACAGTATCCAGGACAGGAATCAATTTCTGCTCTCCACCGACGTTCATTATTCCCAGGGCCACAATACGAAGTGTCATGCCATAACCAGAGCCAGGCTCGTAGTAGCCAGGAACAGATAGGTAGGCCACCTAGTTAAGCTGTGCCTAGTTGGCCTTGAATCTGAGCAATCCTCATAACTTTTAAGAACTCATTCATATGAAAAACTGCAAAATGTGCTGCTTACCTGTAATTACCAAATTTAGTGAGGTAAAAATTTTCCCAGACTAGAATTGTACCCAGTGCCATAAATCCCAGGAGAGGGCATGATATACCTAAGGTTACTCCTGGTGATGTTTTGCATGAAGTGAACTTAGTTCCACTGACAACGGTTGGGCAGGGATCATTACCCTATGTCACAGGTCACAAGTTAACAAGCAGCCATACAGCATATATGTATGGCAAGGGGGAGGAGGGAAAATGACACACATTATCTGCCTATGTGCCTGGTGCATGGATGCAGACCACAGGCAAGCACCTGGGGGTGGGGCTTTAAGCCTTTGACTAAAACCACTCCTGAGCCCTCTGGTACACCTGCTGGCAGGTGCACTGAATATGTACACAGCAAGGGTGCTTGATAACACAATCCAATAGGGGAGAGGGTAAAGTGCATTTATTTTCTTCTATATGTGTTTTTTTTTTAAAAAAAAGAAAAAGAAAAAAAAGAAAGACTCCTCCCTTCCAGTACCCAATGTCCTCTGGGCTTAGAGGGGGTGGAGCCAAGGTTTTTTTTTAAAAAAAAGAAAAAGAAAAAAAAGGAAGAAAGACTCCTCCCTTCCAGTACCCAATGTCCTCTGGGCTTAGAGGGGGTGGAGCCAAGGCCCGTCCCCTAGGAGAAGGTGTAGGAGTAGAAGGCAATGGCATTGACATTGTAGTCCATGGGGAGGAGGTGCCCGATGTGCTTGGCCCCTAGGCTGGCTCCACCCAGGGCGGAGGAATGCCTCAGCTTCATCAGGGTGAAGCTGGAGAAAGAGTTCTGGGCCTGGATCTCTCTGCCCTGGGTCAGTGCCAAAAGGAAACCTGGAGGGAAGAACACAAGGACAGAGATGAGAAGAGACCAGCAGCCTGTGTGGAGATCAGGGAGGAGGGGAGACAAAGATACCCAGGCTCTGAGGCATTCCTGTGCAGGTGCTCAAGGGGCCCCCATGCCAAGTCCTCAGCACACAGGGCACACCAGGGCAAGCGGGCCCAGTTAACAGCTCTGGGTACTACAACCATCAACCCCTGAGGCGCCTGCCCTCCTCATAGCTCCAGAGCACCTGATGCCAGGAACTCCATGATAGCAATGGTGGTCCTTGTGCTACTTCAGAATGTCTAACAAAAACCACAGACCTGCCTGAGATAAGGCTGCCAGGACTAGGAAGTCATGTTTCCTTCCTTCTGGCTAGGATTATGTTGACTAGAGATGTCACCACAGGTTATCACATGCTGATTACAACTCTGATTTAAAGTTAGATTTGTCTTCAATTTTTAAAAAGTTATTATTTAATAAGTCATTTGGAATGTAATATCTTTTCAAGAGTTCTAGGAAGCTGGATGAGACACTGTGAAAGGGCTCAATGGCACAGTGAAGGTTGAGGGCCTTGGCCTGAAGCATCAGTGGCCTGTAGAGGCCTCAGAACCCAACTTCTCCCTGGGGCGGGCAGCTTTCCTTGGACCACCTCCTTTCCAACCCCATCATCTGTGTTTGCCCTTCTCCTCGCCCTACCCCAGACTCACCTTCCTTCAGCAGCTCCCAGCTCTTCCACACAGAGCCCACACACAAGATGGGAAGGCCAAGCTCCCCCTGGAACAATACCTGGCCAGAGAGCACAAAATAGATGCTGGAGGCTGACGAAGCCTCTCCAGTGCTGAAGGGGGTAGGTTTCCTAAGACCAACTCACCCTATTCCAGTTACTCCCTTTTCCCAAAAGAAACAGAAGGCAGACTCAAGGAAAGGAAAAAAAAAAAGGGAGGAAATAGGAGCCACTCATAAAGGCAAGGGAGAGAAGAGGAAGGAAAGAGAGAGGGGAGGGAGATGGACAAAGACATAACTGAAAGACAGGGACAGGCACACTAAACCAGTTTACTATATGAACACAGATTACTGACAGAAAGAGGAGGCACTTGACCCAAGAACATTCTTGGGTTATAGACATTTTTCTCATATCCTAAGTTCATTTAAAATAGTGTCCAATTCACACAGGGTTTGAGGGGACAGTCCCGTCCCTAATAGGAAAGGGCCACCTCTGGCCCAGCAGCAACCCCCCTTCATTTTCCACCTCAACTCACCGGGTCAATCTCAGGCAACACTGCTACAACGTGTCTGCCCAGCATCTCCCCAGCCTTCCTGAAGATGTAACGGGAAAGCGGGTCTCCCTGCTGAGCACCTGCGGTAGGGAGGAGGGAAGAAAGAAGCTAGTGAATACGTAGGGAGCTGCCAGTCCTGGGTTACTCTCTCTGTCGCAAGGCAGCAACCATGGGAGCACCTATAGCAAGCACAAGTCTAAATCAGGATGGATGCCCACCTCATGGAGGGTGCACTGGCAAGCCTCCACTGCCACCTCTCAACCCTTAACCCCCAACACACACACCCCAAGTACTTCTCCTCCTGGAGGGGTGCCCTGTATGGAAATGGCTCATTCAAGCACTGAGAAGGGCAGCCCTGGCACCTGGTTTGGACTCCAGCTTACAATGAGTTACTGTGAACCTGTCTCTATGAGGGTCTCCACTCTGGGAACCCAGGACTACAATTAAGCAACTCACCAGTATTCTGGTCAGTGCCCCCACCCCACCCCTAGAGTCCACTGTTGGTGAGCCCCCTCCTGGCACTGTTCTGGAGGGGCCTCAGTTGAGTGGGACCTAAGAGAGCCCTAGAATGCCCTGAGGCTGCAGAAATCCAAATTCAGGGAGTATGGACCTTATAGTGTAGAAACAGCAATGTGTAGACAAACAAGCCCTATGTTTAGCTTCTCCTGATACCCAACAAAATATGCTTAACCTCTCTATAACCCCTAATTCTTTAAGTATAACTGGTTAAAAAAAAAAGTTATAGATTTGTCCAAAGGACACTGCTTCATAAACTTCTCAGAAACAGGCATACAGCCTGCACAAGCCATAATAGCTATCATGGGGAGAATCACAGGTAATACAAAATTGTAAACACAACCTGCATGTCCTGCCTCCATCACAAGGCCCATCACCAAGGCCCGTGGTGGCAGTGAACAGAGGTCACTTATCGAGATGGAGACTTGGGGAGAATCACAGGTAATACAAAATTGTAAACACAACCTGCATGTCCTGCCTCCATCCCAAGGCCCATCACCAAGGCCCGTGGTGGCAGTGAACAGAGGTCACTTATCGAGATGGAGACTGGCATCCAGCCCCCAACTGAACCCCACTGCACTCCCCTCCACCATTAGGGATGTCTTTGGGGAACAAAGCCAGATAAAACCCTGCTACACCTCCAGTACCTTCTGCAATTTTCCGGCAAAATCCAGCAAACCTGCATTTATCAAAGTCCCTATACAGGTGGGAGAGGATTCCTAGCCGATCTGGCACCTGTGAGGAGAAAGGGCACAAGGTAGCCATCAGAAGCAAAAGAAAAGTCTCAGTTTTCCCACCCAAGCTGACCCCTTCCTAATGTTTCTACTATTTGAAAAGCTTGAATAGTTTTTGGTTTGGGGGGGGGTTCCTTTATGTATTTACTTAGAATATTCATGAGACACAAAGCTGTCACCTCTCATGCCCAGGTTCATACTGGGGGCATACCCATTACCAGAAATTACTTTTGTACCCCATGTCCCCACTCAATTATCCCCCTCCCCCTCTCCCCCCACTCTGCTTTGTTGCCCTAGGAATGTTCCCTCCCTCTGTAACTGTGGTCTTTCCTTCCTTTCTCTCTTAGCTCCCACATATGAGTGAGCACATGCGGTATTTATCCCTCTGTGCTTTGCTTATTTCACTCAACATAATTGAATAGTTTTTGGTTTTTTGGGTTTTTTTTAGCTCTAGAAAGTGCAAGGACTTGAGATTTCTCATTTGAGAAGTGTGTTCTGTAGTTCCTTCAGGTACTCTTGAAAAGATTTCTTTGGTCAAAGGAATGTTTTTTTAGCTCTAGAAAGTGCAAGGACTTGAGATTTCTCATCTGAGAAGTGTGTTCTGTAGTTCCTTCAGGTACTCTTGAAAAGATTTCTTTGGTCAAAGGAATCTGAGGAACATTGCAAACTGCAACTCTCCCTTGGAAAATCACAATGCACATTAGTAAATTAAAGGCTCTGAGAAGTCCTGCACTCAAAAAATAAATTTGTTTCTCCCAAATGTATTTGACCACAGAAGGTCCCTCTTCCACCAAAACTTACACACCCTTAACACCTCTAAGTTCCTAAGATACCAGTGATTCCCTAGAAGACATTTTAGAAAATAGAATGGGGCTAGAGTGGGGGAGAATGCTGGAATTTGAGCACCTTCAGCAATGTACATCTCACTTAATCTTTTTATAAGAGTGACTAAAGGATAGAAAAGGGAGCAACTGACATACTAGCAGAGTTTAAAACCAATTGGGTTAGGACAGCTTAACTCCACTTCCTACAGCAACTGCTATAGAAGTGATTTCTCTTCCTGGTATCTCCCTACTCCTCACGTTGGCCCAGGCCAGAGTTCCTCTTTAATCACCAGTCCCTCAGCCCTGAGAATACAGGTCATACTTTCTAGCATCACTAATCTCTGTCCTTGGTCCCAGCCCCTGCTTGCCTATGTGGCTGGACAGAAAGACTAACTGGCTTTCATGCAGACAGAGATCTATCAAATAAATTTATCTTCCTTCTCTTCCTTCCACCTATCCCACCTTTTACCTCTGGTTCTTCTAAAGGCAGCTGTTTCCTAACCCACTACAAATGAGCACAGCACAAGTAAGGAGGAGTCAATCCCCAATGCCCTGGGAAGGAGGCTGCACTTCCCCCAGCCCATCTCTTAATAGGCTCTCCTGACCCATGCAGGCCAGAAGCAGCTCACCATCCAACACACTTGTTCAGACTCTACTTGCTGTCTCTGCCTCCTGACCTCATCCTGAACTTTTCATCTTAGCCTAGAATGCTATCTGCTTTCACCTCCCAGTAGGTTTTAGCTGCCCAAGAATGAAGTCTAACTAACCACTTGTCCCCAAATCACCCCTTCCTCATGACTGACACTCTCCTGGAGCACACTGCCCACATCAGTCTGAATCTTGTCCTCACGTACGACTTCTCCACTCCACCTCTGATCACAACTCACCTTGATCTCCCTTTGGCCCACCCGGTCCCTCTCCTGCATGCACTCCTGCTCAGTGTCTCCTACTGCCCTACCCCAGGTGTGCATGTTTATTGGGGGCAAAAGGAATACCTGGAAATAGTTGAACATGGCCTGTTTGACGTAGCCAATATCATGAGGAGCCGCCTCTAGGTTGTCAATGGAGTCAAACACTATTTTCACTGCTTGATGTGCGATCCAGTACGCTGCAGAGAGCAGAGAGGGCTAAGAAGATAGGGGCAATCTCTCTGAGCTCACCAGGAAAAAAACTCAGACCTAGATAGGGTTAGTGATATGCTCAGGTTTTATAGCAAATTAGGTTTCCTGATTTCCAGCCTGGGGGGGCCTCTAATCAAATTGTATCTGACTGACTCAGCTATGGGAAAGCTGGAGGGGGAAGATGGAATAGGTGAGGCTGTGTCACACTAACTCCCACTCAAAGATAAGACAAGGTCAGTCAGCTGTCACAAACACCACTGGAGACACTGCCATGAGTTGGACCCCAAAGGCCCCAATGAAAATGTATACAATGCTATCTATAAACAAGTAATAGTGGGAGTGGCCTCTACACCCCTTTTCCATGAGCAGACTGGCATCTCCTGGCATCTATAACCTTAACCTTCATATTTCAGCTCCTAAGGACTCTAAAAGTCAACACAGGTAGGCCATGGCTATTGTGCTAAGGTACAAATTTGAATTCCAGGCGCAAATACTGCTGAAGAGCAAGGTCAGCAGTTAGTCCAGCATTTGCATCTCTATGATCTCACAGTCATTATCCTATACTTCGAATGGTCAGGTTCAGGAGCTGTGCCCAGAACACCCCAGGCGGTCAGTGGGTGTAGGTCAGGGCAAAGAAAGATTGGGAGCTGCAGGAAGGGAAGGGTTCAGGACCCTGAGCCAGGCCCAGGTGGGGTAAGCTCACCTGAGCCCTCGTCCCCCATCATGTGGCCCCAGCCGCCGCAGCCACTCTCAGAGCCATCAGGGTTGATGAGCCTACAGTTGGAGCCTGTCCCAGAGATGAGCACGATCCCACCTGGATAAAGGGTAAGGAAGCTCAGCATGGCCAAGGCCCTGCATAGAGCAACAGCTTCTGACTGTTGCAGAAAGACAGAAACCAGCCCCAGGCAAAGGGATCACCACCCAGTCTTGTAGAGAATACTGTTCCAGATAGTTTCCTGCCTGTAGAGGCCTGGATTTCAGAGAAACTCCAACTGTACAGAGCCCTTCTCTGGGGGACAGAGAAACACGAATCCGCACTCCTTGAGGAAATGTGGCTCCTTGCCAGCCAGTCTTCAAGTGACTCTTCCTGCTTTTCTGAGTACCTACTGTGTGACAGAGATTGTGCCTGGCCTTGTTCTCACAGTGACACTCATTCAATACCCTAAACCACCTTATGAATACAATTACTCCCATTTTATAGATTAGGACATTGAAATTCAGGGAGTTCCATAACTTTCCAAGATGATACAGCTGGCAAAACAGAAGCTGGGATTCCAACACCAATCCCAGGATGCCGCCTCTCCTTACACTAGCACAGAGCTCCCCCCAGCTGTCCTTCATCACCACACTGCCCCCAGGGACTCTTTCCTCTGTTTATGCTTGACTCTCCTCGCTTCCCATCAAGATACCTTTCCTGCCCTTCCTCCTCCTGTCCAGTCCTTGCTCTAGCAGGGACTTAAGCTCATGAAAGGAGAGTTGGGGGTAATGTTACAGAGGCTGCCTTCCAGATATTTGCAAGACAAGTTTTGCTACTTACATCTAAGGGGCTTTCCCAAGAAAACCAATTCTCAACCTCACCCCTCCCTCCACCTCCTCACCATCCGGCGTAGCTGTGGCGATGGAGCCGGCGGCGTCGGTGGTGATTAAGTAGCTTTCGCTCAGGTAGGGAAATCGGTCCCTCAGCTCCTCCATCAGGATCCTCACCGCATCCTCCTGCTCCCCACCGCTCAGGGATAGGCCCTAGGCCACGCGGGAGGTGAGCAGGAAAGCAGAACCCCAGCCCCAGCTCCTTTCTCAACCCCCGCCCCTCCTGATGCCTGCCTCCTGCTCATCCAGCCCCAGTCCTTCTGCCCCACACAGTGACCTCTCAGATGGCCGCAGCTGCAAGGACAACTTGGACTGGGAATGGAGAGAGGAAAGAGGGGATTCGACAATGCCAGGTTGGAGCTTGTGAGGACAGGAGTGAAAAATCAGGCAGGGGAGCAAGATGAGGGGAGATAGAGAGATAAGCTTGCAGGGTTATTATGCCTACAGAACATCTCACTTGCATGTCCAGGGAGTAGCCAGAGCTACAGCAACTTGGAAGAAAGATCTGAGCTAGGAACACCACTAGCTAACATTTAATGAGTGCTCATGGGGCAGGCTCTATGATAACCATTTTGGGATGTATCACATCATTTTAACCTTCCCAACAAGGTTGGGGTACCTACTCTTGAGGTACCTACTGCTATCCACATTTTCCAATGAGGAAACTGAGGCTAAGAGAAAGTAAGTAACCTGCTTAGGGTCATACAGATGGCAAAGCTGACATTCAAACCAAGGTCTCAAAGGTTCTCCAAAGCCCCATGCTCTTCCAATACACTTGTGGCTTGTAGATGGCAACTGAAGCCACAAGAATGAGCGAGATCATGAGAGTTTATATACCAGAGACTAAGCCTTGGAGGCCTTTTTCTCTACAGTCATCAAACTCATCTAGTCCAAACTTGCTACCTGTCTCAGTGTTGCTGATGGCTTAATTCCCAGGTTCTATCCCAGACTCACCAAGCTTCGAAGCGGTACAAGAGGATCCACCCCTGCTTTCCGTTTGGCCCTGTTCACCATCTCATTGATCCTTTCCACACACTTGTCCGTCCCGATCAGCTGGCCCCAGTCAAGAGAAGGAGGAGTTACAAAGGGTTGCAGGACGTGTGTTGCCCATACAGGCTGCTCTATGAGCCCCAGCCACCACCTCAACAGGAGTTAGAGAATAAAACCAGAACCAAGCCCTTTGGTCCCCTCAGTGTGGCTTTTACCCAGTGGTTTGTGCTCAGTCCATCTGCTTCTGCCAGGATCTGTCCATCCTCAGAGAGTAAAAGGACCTTGGACCGTGTGCCTCCCCTACAGAACACAAGAGGGCACTCAGTCCTGCTTAGAAACACCTGCAGATAGAGCTAAACTTGTGCTATCCTTGCCCCAGGCAGAACCCAGGGTGATGGAGAAGTCGGCTTCAGCAAACACAATTACCACTCACAAACCCACGGTAGTTTGGTGTTTGCTGTGCTCTTGAACCAAAACGTAGTTCTTGCTCATCTTCCCTTGGGGATGTCCCACTTATCCTGCAAGACCCTACTTATATATCACCTATTCCTTGAAACCTCTGATGTGTGGCCTACCCCCACACATTAGTTAAGCATCTATTATTTAAGGTTTCACAGTGCCCCCACAGCTATTAAAGATTCCTCTATATTTTGAATGTCAATTTGCTTTATATCTCTCACTAGACTATGAGCTCTACTGGATCAAGCTCTGGATCATTTACCTATCCGTGTAACTAGCACAAGGCCTGGTACAAGCAATGCTCGGTAAATATGGCTAAAAAGAATGGTACATTTCTCTGCTTCTCTCACAACAGCTAAAGGATGACTTTGAAGATCTAGTTCCAGCTGCCAAGGTCTTCAAGACACCCCTGAAAGAAATGCTGCCCAGGGTCGGCCCGGTGGCGCTCCCGCCAAGGGTTCAGATCCCACATACAGACCGGTTCCCGCTCACTGGCTGACCGGCCCGGTGGCGCTCCCGCCAAGGGTTCAGATCCCACATACAGACCAGTTCCCGCTCACTGGCTGAGCGAGGTGCGAGTGCAACACCGAGGGTTGCGATCCCGTTGCCAGTCCTGGTCCGGTAAGGGCGCGACACTGAGGGTTGCGATCCGTTGCCGGACACGAAAAAAGACAAAAAAGGAAAAAAAAAAAAAGAAATGCTGCCCAGATAGCAGGGAGCATTTATATATACTTAAGCAACTAAACCCTCAAATGCTGATTACTGGGGGTAATGGTAGTTTAGAGGAAGGGGGTGGGATGTATGTTTCTTTATTGATCAGTACTTTAGGAATGTCTTAGGACACTGAAGACTGTTGATCTAATTCAAAGATAACATTAAGTTTCAAGGGGTAGTTAATGCCTGAGGTGGCAGACTGAATATCCAAAAGAATCTCTTGAGACACTGGAAAAAAATGGGTCATATCTTACAGCTGAATATAACAGGGATGAATGCAAACTTCTATACTTTGGGTTTTTTTGTTTTTGCTTTTGTTTTAAAAAAAGGTATTACAGATACAAGACAGAGAAAAGATTTTGGGGTCTGTGAGTCGCAGTGAAATGTGGCTGCCAGAGAAGTGAATCCTATCTCAGACTAAAAAGTACAATGCCCCAGCTGAGAGGAGAGCCACCCTCTACTACGCCCTGATTCAACACACCCAGAGTCACAGAATGTCACTGGCAGAGGAGTTGGCGATTATCTTGTTCATCCCTGTCCTCACTTTACGCATATGGTAACTGAAGCCCAGAGAGGACAAATGTCCTGCCCACAGCCATACCCAGAGATAGAATTATTACAAAAAGTCCAGTAGACGAGCTTCTGAGCAGGAAAAATGCAAGAACAACATGGGTTCAATCTACTGTGAGGAGCCTGGAGTGTCCACAGAAATGCAGGAGTTTCAGGCATCAGGACAAGCAAGCACTCTGGCTCAGAGCTACTCCAGCTCCCAGATACCCTACGGCAAAGTTGTTTTCGCAGCTTCTGCCCCATTCCCACTCCCCACTCCAGGAACTTCACACCTGATACCTGTTCAGCAAAACTCTCCAGGATCGGGAATGGGAAAAGCAGCTGCTTCTCCAGCGGGAGGAGGAGGAGTGGGTCGTCAGTGGGAAAAGGGGGCGTGGTTCCGCCGTGAAACACAAAGGACCCCCCCCCAGGGCGTGGCCGTGGCAGTCCCAGAGTCCCCGCAAAGCACACGTCCACAAGCGGAAAAGCACCACTGTGCGTGCACATACCCCTCCTCCACAAGGCCCCGCAGCCCAAAAGCCTAAAGTGGCCGGACACTGAGGCGAGAGGCCATCTGCCTGTGGACCTGGTCACGACTTTCCGCCCCGCCCCCGGGCCCGGCACGGCCCAGGCCGCCCCTCTCGGGCTCCCTCCACCGAGCCGCACTCACCCCTCCACACCTCCGTAGAGCGCGGCCATGTTACTGTCGCCGCCGCAGCTGGTCGCGCCGTCTGTTCCTTCCCACCTAACGCTTCCCTCCCTCCAGTCTGCTCGGCACCGCCCGCCTCACGTGACCGCCCGCGCAGTCCAGCTGACTGCCAGAGCGCGTGCGCGCGGCGTGGCGCCGCGGACCGCCCCTTGTCTCAGGCTTGCTCCAACCCGCGTGACTCGCCACTGCCCAGCCCGCCCCGCCCCTCAGCGCCCGGAAGTTGCTGGCGGCCCCGCGCGGCGCGTGCGCATTGCTTGCAGACGGTGACGCACACAGTGATGCGCGAACGGTCAGACCCCCACGGACACGTGGGATCAGGGATCCGCGCGCAAACCAAGCGGTCCTCTGAATCCTTCGCAGAAATCACTATAATGTGCGTGGCGATGGCGAAAGTCACGTGTGCACACACAGACACCAGCACTGATTGTTACACACCACTCGTGTGAATGTACGGAACCCGGAGGAACTAGAAACCGGTTGGAAAAGGGGAAAAGCCCGCGAGGCTGTCCTGGCAGCCCTGAGAAGGGAGCCTTCAGCTATTGCTAACCACGCAGTTTAGTTCTTTGCAGAGGGTGTTTGGGGGGACGTAGACTGCCGGGCAAACTAGTAGATACGGTTTTACAAGTCTTTTATTACCTTCCGGTCACGAACCCGCTTGCCTTCCTTACACTGCGCCGGGAAAGGGAAGGGGAGCCCAAAGGGGGAAATTACTGGCCAGATCTGGGAGACAAGCTGTGGCTACTGCGGGCATTCTCAGGCTCCTTCGGCAGTTCTGGGCCCGCGAGGGGCAACTTCGTGGGCCGGGAGGGGGTTAGCTAATCCCGGCATCTCTTCGGGAACATCAGCCTAGCAACTGCTCCTCCGCAGGGCAGCTCTAAGGCTGGCCTGTCCCATGTCTAACCCTCAATCTTCCCCCTTGACTTGCTTGCCATCTTCCTGTAGAGAAATCCTGGACGAGGACACTCTTTCCCTGATAACCAACTGGGTCTGGTTATGCTTTGGTGTGACAATTTGGCGTACAGGTGCTTTTTAAAGCACAAGAGTAAAAAATTACTACATGATAGCAAATATCAGAGAGAGGGGTAGGATATTTTTTTATGCCCGCCTATGCCATTTTCATTCATATCACATCAGAGCTGGAAGGGACTTAATCCAGCATGCGCATATTTTTAGGATAAAGGAACTAATAGATTGTAGTAAGATTAAACTGGGCAGGATTTTTGGAGAAGACGAGATTGTAGGTGGATTTTAAAAGAACCGTTCTTTTACTGCAATAGCGCAATGAGCCTTGGAACGTATATGTGTGATAATGTTCAAGTTTGCCTTTGTATTGCTTTTTTAGAAAAGAAAGCAAAAGGGAAAGTGCACAGGTTTGAAGACAAGGACTGAGTTCACCATTTACTCGGTGGTGAATTAGTCATTACTGCTGCTTGTCATCTACAAAATGAAGATGATAAATATCCACCTACCGTAGCTAACACGAGATTTAAATATCAAAAGAATTTTGGAAACTGTAAAGTACTTCACAGATCTGAACTAATTTTTATTGACATTACTAATTAGTGTTTACTGTCTTGCACAGTATGTGATTGTTGAGTACTTGAAATGTGGCTAGTCCAAAGTGAGACATGCTATCAGTGTCAAGTACACATAGGATTCCCAAGACTAAGTACCAAAAAAGAATGTGAAATATCTATTAATCATTTTTTATATGAATTACATGTTGAAATATAGTGGGTTAAGATGATATATTATTAAAATTAATTTTGCCAGTCTTTTTATCTTTTTAAACATAGCTACTAGAAAATTCTAAATTTCACAGGTGGCTCATATTTGTGGCACTCATTATATTTCTGTCATATAGTGCTGTTTTATGTCTTGTCTCCTATTCCATTCAGATCAGAGGATTTCAGAATCACTGAGTGCCTGTTTATGAAATAAATAATGGCCATATGCTGGATTTAAAGAAAGTGTTGAGTAAAAGATTAATACTACTACTATACATTTAAGTTGTGCATTATAATTTTATAAAATTCTTATTTATGTTTACCTTGTTTGATCATCCTAAAAACTTTATGAGAATGCCAGCAACTTCTAAGCACATATTTACAAGTGAAGAAACTGAGGCTCAGAAATCAATGTAATTAGGCTAGGCTCACACAAATAATAAATTTGCTTCTATTATGTGTGTAAGTAGTTACCATAATGGCAAGGAAATAAAGATGTCGCAATACAGGAAGTTGTTAATTCGCCTCTACATTGCTTTGTAAAAGTTTAATGCCCCTTTGCGCAGAGCTTGCAGTATCCCAGCAGTTGCTCCCATGATGCTCACAAGGTTGGCACAATCCTCTAAGAATCTACAAGCTGCTGTCTTGTTCTCTGTCCTCTCTACTTTGTCCCATGATCCCAGGGAAGCCATAGTTACAAGGTTGGGGGAATGGGAGTGGTAAGAGGGAGAGTGGGAAAATATCTTCTCTCTCAAATCCAGTTAGTATTTTGGGGAAGAGGACTTTTGGCCAAACGGTCCTTGACAGATTATGTTGACTTACTTCATGAAACACAGCCACATCTGTTTTTACTCACCATGGTGTTTTCAGGGCTAACCTCAGTACCAGGCACATAAGAGCTTCATAAATAGTTTTGAGAGTGTTTTTAAACTATAAAGCACTATTGCCATAAACATGAGGCGTGGCAAATGCCCACTGTGAACTGAAGAAGGGAGCAAGCAAATTTCATGGCAGAGACAATTTGCAGAACAGATTGAGGAGAGAAAGACATGGAAAAAATAAGTGAAATTGTGAACTGGGGAAGCAGGAGTTGAACAAGTGGTCAGCGGGTCTCAAAGGGATCGAGCTCTAATCCATCCTACATCAGGAAGTTGTGGTACATGCATGACCTCAGCACTGTGCTTTAGAATTAATCTGGCAGCTTCCTTATAGTAGGACAAATGAGAGGAGAATGGAACAGAGAGGCACTTGGAAGGCTGGGCAACAGCCCAGGCAAGAGATGAACAAAAAAGTGATAAGGGAACAGGGTGGAGCAGGAGCCACAGGGAGGGATTCAAATTGGGGTCATGCTGATATCTCTCTCTGTTGATCTGGGATGAGGAAAGAGAGAGAGGCTGGAGTTCACTGTCCCAGAATGAAAGAGGGGCGATGTGCTTCCTTACTAAGGGTAGCGGTGAGACTCTGGGACTGGCTAGTAGCTGCAGGCAAGAGAAGGTCTCTTCCTTAACTACAGGACCGCCAGGACCAACCCAGAAGGAGCAGAAAATACACGGGGTCCCCAGAGTGCAGAAGCAGGTGTAGACAACTGGCATAAACATTGGCAAGAGAAGGTCTCTTCCTTAACTACAGGACCGCCAGGACCAACCCAGAAAGCAGAAAATACACGGGGTCCCCAGAGTGCAGAAGCAGGTGTAGACAACTGGCATAAACATTCAAGTCTCTTCAAGTCTCTTCGGCCATGTGAATGAAGAGAAGGAAAGGAGGGCCCATACCTGCCCTGATCTGAAGTTGTTCTGACGGCTGTGGGATGTCATGCCAGGGCAGCAACCCAAGCAAATCAGGTTGGTTTATTCCCTCTTCTTTCCTGAACATATGGGTGTCTATGTGTGAGTTTATATGCATGTCTTGGCTGTGTTGATCTATTTGTAGGTGTGTACATTATTATTTATATATTTAAATTTGTCTTTGTATATTTTTGTAAGTGATTGAATATGTCTGCAGATGCATGTATTTGAGATAATGTCTTTATGTACACAGAACTAAAATTAACATTTCAGTTCTTGAAGGAACTTGAGCAATCCTGCATGTCTAGGCACTTTTGGGCAGGTACATACATGTGCAAATATAGCTTGTGCTGGAACTACAGTGTTGTGCCCCAGCTGGCCCATGCCAGCTCACAAAGACCCAATTCTGTGCACATCTCTCCCACTTCCATTTGGTGATATCATGTTGGTAGCTTGAAATCACCATGGTGGGAGTATTTATAATGACCGCAGAAATCAGTAAGTGCTACAGATCACATCGCTGATATTATTGTTTTCCAGAAAGCTGGCTGTTAAACATTTACCAGCACACCACTGGGTATAGGTTTTAGGCACATGAGAATATCCATGGTCTGTGTATATCGGTGTATAAGTACATATATGAAAGTATGTACCTGTGTAGTGGGTTCAATTTTTTATAGACTACAAACTCAGGGGTGCAAAAACATAACTATTTCCTTACAACTGAACTTGACTTCTGTCTCAATCTTTCACTTTCCCTAGTAGCAGAAAGCTTAATCTCTTAATCTAATCACTTACAGGTGAATTCAGTCATTTCAGGTTTCAACTTAGATCCAACACCTGTCCTCCTCTTGGCTCCCCAGGGTGGCATGTGAGGGCCAGGGTTAAACAGCACTGCAGCAGCAGCGAGGAGGGGCATCCACTGGCATCTGCTGAGATGAGCAGTTTTCCCTTTGGGGACTTTGGTCATTGGCGTCCAGTCTCCTGACATCTCCTGATATTCCCTGGGCCCCATGAGCCCCCCAGTTGCTTTGTCTGCACTGCCATTTCTGGAATTTGTCCTCTTGTCAAGTGTCAGGGGTGTTTATGTCTGCCTTCTCCTGAGCTCCTGAGCTCTCGGCCCCATGAGCCCCCCAGTTGCTTTGTCTGCACTGCCATTTCTGGAACTTGTCCTCTTGTCAAGTGTCAGGGGTGTTTATGTCTGCCTTCTCCTGAGCTCCTGAGCTCTCCCTCCAGTCTGTTTCCTCCAGGAATCAGAAAAAACGACAAGGAGCATTTTGTCACCTAAGTACTTAACACCCCATAAGACAAACTGTATACCCATTTTTATAGAGGCAGGAATTCTCAGAGGATAGGGGCTTCATAGAAGGTCAAGCTGGGGGTTGAACCCCATTCTCTCTGACTCTAAAGCCTGTACCTTTTCCACTCTACCAGACTGCCACAGTATCCTGTGAATTATGGGCACTTAGTACATGCTTTTGGTCATCATGGGTTAGAACACTGGTGCTTGAATAATCATAGAATCCCCAATTCCACTGGACCCTGCACCAAC